ACGCAATTTAAAACCAATCATGCAACTGAAATTGTCATTAACGTATGTGCCTGACTTAACCACTGATTCTGCACATAACAAGGTATTGTGATGCTTTAAACGTGCCAAGCTTTTCAGTTGTTCTACAACAAGGATTTACCCTAACAACGATTTCAAACCCAAATCACATCCAGCCAGAATAATCATTTTAGCAAAATCAAAGCCAAACCTCCCAACATTCGAAGCCAAATCTCACTTTCAAAAATAGTCTATTGCCTCCTAAATTGAATGAACTCTACCTCTTCAAATAAAAATGACGAATCAGAGATCGAACAGGATTAACCACATAATAGAAGATATGCATATCTAAATAACTTAAACAAAAGTCCAAATACAAAGTCCCTCAAGTGTTCAAACAAGCTAACAATCCACCAGTTTCCAGCAATTTGAAGAATATCATAAATTCCAAAATATTACTGCTATGCTAAGATTAATAACCTAGGCTAAACACCATTACATTACACTACTGAATTTAAGAATTTAAGCAGAAAAATGACATTGGATGTTTAAAGGAAACAGTCATTCATTCATGAAAGGAACTTCAAGCAATTACAGCCTTCGTGTTTGTAGGTCATCTCTTAGAGAATCAGGGAATACCTGGAATTACGAAAAGGAAGAAGGGGTAAGGATCAGCAAGGCAAAGTAGTAGCAGCAAGTGTTTCAGCAACGAAATCAACCCCAGAGATGATCAGGAGAAATCCATTTAAACCANCCAAGGATTATTTATCAAGGTTTTCATAGTCTAGTGGGAGAAATAGAGAGGCAAGAGGCAATGAGAGATTTTAACCATCAATTTCTTCTTTTCTTCCCCTTTGTTTTTGCTAATTGTGATGAAATTGAACCTTATTGTGATGAACATGGGTATGAGTGGCTAAACACCCATTGTTCTGGGGTTGTGATTTAGCCATGAATATTGTGGTTTGATATTAGCTTGACCTTGATTATAATTCACCAATATATGGTTGTTTCTTCAATTCTGTGTTTAATTGCTTAATTGTCTGGCCAACAGTTAGGTTCTATTTACTATCTATGCTATGCTTGGGAAAGCCATGTTTAGATTAGAGAAGTATTGAAAAGAGCACGATCTTAACCCTTAGGGGGAGCGGATTTGTGGTTAGGATAGGAATATACCTAGTCACCGTGCTTAATTAAATATCGTAATCTTAATGCGTTCTTAATAGATTGATTTCATAGGAATATAGGCGTTAATCTATTGAGAATATGTGAGTAGTACTTCGGGAGAAGGCTATGAGAGCATTTATCGATTAATTAGCAACCATGAGTGAATTATATGAAAGGGAGAGTTAATTAGAACACAATACGAATGGTGAATCGATCACAACCCTAGAATACTTGTCTCTACTGAATACACAACAATCAACTTGTTACTTGATAAATTAGTTATTATTTAGAATCGTAGAATAATATAATCATATTATTAGACTTTGATTTTAGCTGGACTGAATAACAATTTTAGTAATTTCGTGAGTAGTTTACACAAGTCTCTGTGGGTTCGACACTCAACTTATCATTATATTACTTGTCGACCACGTATACTTGCGTGTGCGTTTGGAAGCAACAAGTTTTTGGCGCCGTTGCCGGGGACTTGAATATTAGCTACTTGCTAGTTTTTGCTTTAATTGCTTATTTTGTCTAGTCTAACGTTACTTGATTGTTGCTCAGATCTCAGGAATTTTGATTGAATGCGTAGGGTCAGAAGCCAGGACCGACTTCAAGGCTTTGATCCTGAACTTGAGAGAACATTTCACAGGAGATTGAGGGAAGCAAGGGACACGAATAATATTCAGGCACTTGTTCAATTTCCTGTGGACATGGCAGAGGAGCAACCTATGGCTGTTCAGGAGGTAGCAATGCCCAGCATTGCTAATGTCACCTCCAGTATAGTGAAGCCCAGGATCACTGGGCACTTTGAGCTGAAACAGAGCATGATCCAGCTGCTTCATGCAAACGGGCAATTTATGGGTCTTCCACATGAGGATCCGCAACAGCATATTCTGAACTTCTTGGAGATTAGTGATACTTATATCACTAACGGGGTCATTCCAGATTATGTGAGGCTCACACTTTTTCCATTCTCTCTGTTGGGCGAGGCTAAGCGATGGCTAAAGGCAGAACCAACTAATTCCATTACATCATGGAATGATTTGGCAAGAAAATTTCTGGCAAGGTTCTTTCCTTCAGGCAAAACTGCAAAGATCAGAAGTGAGATAGTGGCCTTCAAACAGAAAGCGGGAGAATCATTATACTCAGCTTGGGAAAGGTTCAAGGGGCTACTCAGAGACTGTTCTCATCACAATTAGACGAATGAAGTGTTAGCTCACACTTTCATAGAAGGGCTACATTCTGAAACAAAGATCGTGGTAAATGCTGCAGCTGGGGTCAAGTGCTGGAGAAAAGCTTTGACGAGATATATGCATTATTGAACAAATTCTCTAAGAGCAATCCGGATTGGCAAGGAGAGATGGGCAGACACATAGTGCAAAAGTCTGCAGGGGTTCTTGAGTTAGATGCCGTCTCAGCATTATCAACGCAGATTGCTACACTGGCCAATCAAGTCAACCAGATGAACTTGAGTATCAACAAGCAACAAATACAACCGGTACAACAGGTTCAAGCTTTTTGTGAAATATGTGGAGAGGGGCACACGAGCGACATATGCCCCGCAAACCCAGAGTCTGTCTGCTTTGTGGGTAATTCAAATAGGGCCAAACAAACCAATATGGGAACACTTACAATCCCAACTGGAGGAACCACCCAAACTTCTCTTGGGGTGGAAACCAGGGCACTCAGAATCAATACAGGCATCAAGCACCTCAACAGCAATATAGACCACCTCAGGTTGAACAACAAGCGAGTCCTACAAGTCACCTTGAAGACATGTTAAAAAAAGTGATGGCTGAACAGCAAGCTCTCTCTCAGAAAGTGATGGCTGAACAGCAAGCCCTCACCACAACAGTGAGAAATTTGGAGTGTCAAATGGGACAGCTTGCTAGTGCTCAAAACACTAGACCAGCTGGAGCTCTTCCAAGTGACACTGAAGCCAATCCTAGGGCGACCCTTAATGCCGTGTCGTTGAGGAATGGGAGACAACTCGAGGAAGTTCTATCTAAAAAAGGGAAACAGGTGACTTTTAATGAGAGGCCAGCCACTGTAGAATCAACACCAGAGAAAGCCAAGGAGCCAGAGAAGCCAGCTGGAGAGGCGGTGGCTGAGCAATCCCCACAATTGGTTGCAAGGCCACCACCTCCATTCCCTCAAAGACTGCAGAAATTACGAGATAATGCCGCATATAAAAAGTTTCTTGATATCTTGAAGCAGTTGCAAATCAATATTCCATTGGTTGACATCTTACAAGAAGTACCCAAATATGCAAAGTACATCAAGGACATTGTGGCGAATAAAAGGAGGCTGACCGAGTTCGAAACTGTAGCACTCACTGAAGAGTGCAGTTCCAGAATTCAAGGCAAGTTACCTCAGAAATTGAAGTATCTAGGTAGTTTGACTATCCAAATCACGATTGGTAAACATGCTGTTGGGCGAGCTCTATGTGACCTCGGAGCAAGCATCAATTTGATGCCGCTATCTATATTCAGACAGTTGGGGTTGGGTGAACCACGCCTAACAACAGTTATCTTACAGTTAGCTGACCGCTCCCTTGCTCATCCTGAGGGAGTGATTGAAGATGTGCTAGTGCAAGTGGGGTCTTTCATATTCCCATCTGATTTCATCATCCTGGATTACGAGCCTGATCAGGAAGTCCCATTTATTTTGGGGCGTCCATTCTTAGCCACGGGCCGAGCTATTATTGATGTTTGTGAAGGAAAGAGGACAATGAGAGTGGGTGACAGGGTGGAGGTCTTTAATGTTTATAAAGCACTCAAGTTACCAGCCCATAATGAAGAGTTATCCATGATCTCTGTGGTGGAAGGTGATGCCACATCGTTAGTACCCTATATGAGCCCTGCAGATCCTGTTGAACGAGTATTGATTGGGGACTTAGAAAATAGTGAAGATGAAAGGATGGGAGAAATTGAGCAAGTGCTGGATATGTCATGCAGTTATGTACATGGGGTTAGAAAATTTGAAGAGTTGGACAGGCCTGTCACTCTGACCCTCCCCAGGCCATCTATTGAAGAAGCTCCGAAGTTAGAACTCAAGCCACTTCCAGCGCATCTGCGCTATGCTTATTTGGGGAACTCAGAGACACTGCCCATGATTATTTCATCCAGCTTGACCAGCACTCAAGAAGAAAAATTGCTCAGGGTCCTCCGCGAGCATAAAAGGGCCATTGGGTGGACTATAGCTGACATCAAGGGTATTAGTCCATCGTTTTGCATGCATAAAATCTTTCTAGAGGACGGACACCGCCCCAGTGTAGAGCAACAAAGGAGATTAAATCCCATTATGAAAGAGGTGGTGAAAAAGGAAGTAATCATGTTGCTCGATGCAGGTATCATTTTTCCTATTTCTGATAGCAACCGGGTAAGCCCGGTTCAATGTGTGCCCAAAAAGGGAGGAATGACTGTAGTTGAGAACGAGAAGAATGAGCTAATCCCCACTCGCACTGTTACGGGCTGGAGAGTCTGCATTGATTATAGAAGGCTCAATAAGGCAACTCGCAAGGATCACTTCCCACTCCCATTCATCGATCAAATGCTAGACAGGTTAGCCGGGCATGAATATTACTGCTTCCTTGATGGTTATTCAGGATACAATCAGATTGTCATATGCCCAGAGGATCAGGAGAAGACTACTTTTACTTGTCCTTATGGCACTTTTGCCTTCAAGCGAATGCCATTTGGTCTTTGTAATGCACCAGCCACATTCCAGAGATGCATGATGGCTATTTTCACCGACATGGTGGAAAAATTCGTGGAAGTGTTTATGGATGATTTTTCAGTTTTTGGGTCTTCTTATGATGATTGCTTGAGGAATTTAAGCAAGGTGCTGGCCCGTTGTGAAGAAACAAATCTGGTATTAAATTGGGAAAAGTGCCATTTTATGGTACAAGATGGCATCGTGTTGGGTCACAGAGTATCTAGGAGCAGCATTGAAGTTGATAAAGCGAAGGTGGAGGCGGTTGCAAAATTACCTCCACCTATCTCAGTGAAGGGTGTCCGGAGTTTCTTGGGACACGCGGGTTTCTATCGGCGCTTTATTAAAGATTTTTCAAAAATTGCTACTCCTTTGTGCAGGCTGCTTGAAAAAGATGTCACTTTCAATTTTGATGATGCTTGCCTCAACGCATTTGAGGAACTTAAAAAGAAGTTGGTGACTGCCCCCATTATTGTGGCACCTGATTGGTCTCTACCATTTGAACTTATGTGTGATGCGAGTGACCTTGCTATTGGGGCAGTGCTAGGCCAGAGGAAGGACAAGATGTTTTATTCCATCTACTATGCGAGTAAGACTCTTGATGATGCACAGCTGAATTACACCACCACTGAGAAGGAGTTGTTAGCCGTTGTGTGGGCCTTTGAGAAATTCCGGGCATACTTGGTGGGAACGAAAGTCATAGTCCATACGGATCATCCAGCAATCAGGTCTTTGTTTACAAAAAAGGAATCCAAAGCTCGTTTGATGCGCTGTGTGTTGTTGCTGCAGGAATTTGATGTAGAAATACAAGATCGAAAGGGGACAGAAAACCAAGTAGCTGACCATCTATCAAGGTTGGAAAATCACGATCACGTGGAGGAGGGTGGCCAAATTAAGAAGTGTTTCCTGATGAGCAACTTTTGCTATAACCCAAGACCCTCCCCCATGGTATGCAGACTATGTGAATTATCTTGTGAGTGGAGTACTCCCGCACGAAATCCAATCTGAAGCTAGAAAGCGGTTCTTACATGATGTGAACTTCTATTACTGGGATGAGCCCTATTTGTTCAAGCAATGTGCTGATCAGTTGATGAGGAGATGCATTCCTGAAAAAGAGGTGGAATTAGTGTTGTATGATTGTCACGCATCACCTTATGGGGGCCATCATGGAGGAGATAGAACAGCTGCAAAGGTGTTACAATCCGGTCTCTTTTGGCCAACCTTATTCAAGGATGCCCATGCATTCGTTAAGAAGTGTGACCAATGTCAGAGAACGGGAACAATCACAAGGAAGCATGAGATGCCTTTAAATAATATTCTAGAAGTTGAGCTTTTTGATGTGTGGGGGATAGATTTTATGGGGCCATTTCCACCGTCCAGAGGAAACAAATACATTTTGCTAGCCGTTGACTACGTGTCAAAATGGGTGGAGGCAATTGCCTTGCCAACAAATGATGCCATGGTGGTAGCTGCTTTTGTGAAAAAGAACATATTCTCGAGATTTGGGACTCCACGGGCCTTAATCAGTGATGAAGGGACTCATTTTTGCAATCGATTGTTGAGTAACCTTCTTGCTAAATATGGAGTTTGCCACAGAGTTGCTACAGCATATCATCCGCAGACAAGTGGGCAAGCTGAGGTGTCAAACAGAGAAATCAAGCAAATATTAGAGAAGACGCTGAGTGTGAATAGGAAGGATTGGGCTGCAAAGTTGGATGATGCCCTATGGGCGTATAGGACTGCATATAAAACGCCAATTGGAGCGTCCCCCTACAAGCTGGTTTATGGGAAGGCCTGCCACTTGCCCGTTGAGCTTGAACACAAAGCATACTGGGCCATTAAGAAGCTGAACATGGACCTTGAAACCGCAGGTGAGAAAAGACTTATGCAGTTGAATGAGTTAGACGAGTTCAGGCTGCACTCTTATGAAAATGCCAAGCTATATAAAGAAAAGACAAAACGATGGCATGACAAGCATATCAAGCCACGTCACTTTGAGCCATGCCAACAGGTATTGTTATTCAACTCTAGACTACGGCTGTTCCCTGGGAAGCTAAAGTCGAGATGGTCAGGTCCTTTTGAGGTGGTGAGAGTCACTCCTTATGGTGCAATCGAGCTGCGAGCTTTAAATAGTGAGAGAAAATTCTTGGTGAATGGTCATAGAGTCAAGCATTATTGGGGAGGAATGATTAATCGTGAAAAGACCAAGGTTGTACTGGCTGATGAGTAAGCGAGACTTTGCGTCGTGCCGCGACGTTAAATCAGGCGCTGGATGGGAGGCAACCCATTGAATTGTTGTAAACGTCGTGCCACGACGTTAAATAAGGCGCTGGTTGGGAGGCAACCCAACGATAGTAGTAGTTGTTAATTTGTTGTTTTAGGAAGTGCTAACCAATGCAGGTGACAATGGGCAAGTGCTAAGGCTATCAAACGAGGTAAGGACAGGTGAAAAATTGAGGAAAAATTCCGCCCAGGTGCGCGCTATTGGACGCGCATCTGGGCGCGCTAATTTGCACAGGTTCTGCCTGGGCTGCGCAACTAGCGCGGTCGCGCATGTGAGCGCGCATTTGGGCGCGCTAAATTCTCCATGTTCTGTCTTGGCCGCGCCAGAAATAGCGCGACTGCGCATCTGGCCGCGCTAGTTCCGTTAATTTGTCGCCAGTTTTTTTTTTTTTAGTAATTTAAGTTTTTCTTTTTATTTTCTTCTTTTATTTTGTAATCCCCCCCTTTTTTTTCTATTCTTCCCCAATCGACCAAAAATAACCCCCTCCCTTCTCTAAACCCCCATTCAACAAACGAACGCCCCAACCCTAGTCCCAACCCCCTGCTCCCAAATTCCTTCCCCCATTCTCACGACTTCTTCCCTATTCTCCTTCTCCACTCACCACCATCGTCCCTCACAGGTATGCACTCTAGTTTCTTTTTATTTTCTTTTTCTTCTCTTTTTCTATTTTTATTTTTTTTAGATGTTGTTTGTATGCAAATACCTTAGTTGTAGTAGTTGTACTTAGATTTTGTGTAGAGAATTTGGTGCTATAAGTTGTGGTGTTGGTGGGTGATAAGTGTGGGGTGGAATGCCACTTGATTTGTGATTTTGGTGAGAGTAAGCTTAAAAGGGGTTGTGAAGGTCTAATGCCCACAAAGTGTTCGTGGAAAGGCCCAAATGAACGTGATTATGTAGTTTGTGATCACTTATGCGTGTGAAGTCGGAGTAACCGCATTGCGTTACAAATTTTAGTTGGGCTGTGCTAATGTGTTTCCGTTTTGCAGGTATCATGGCTCCACGGAGGAAACGACAAGCCACATGGGCCTCATCAAGCAGCCAACCTGGTTCGGCTAGGTCAAGAGGGGCTGCACATGCCCGTCCCTTTGATGCTACACAATTTGTTTCGGCCAAGGCACAAGACCGCTTTGCGAAAAAGGCTCGTAGAAAGCCAATTTCGGAGAAGGGTATTCACGTCGGCTGGCTCCAGCACCACTGCTCGCACATGAGTTGGTGAGGAGAGGGTCGCAAACCTTCATCAATGAGCCCGGTGAGGGCAATGCAATGGTTGTGCGGGAGTTCTATGCCAATGCACCGGAGCATGTTAATGGAGTAGTCACGGTGCGCCGACGGGTGGTGAATGCTTCGGTTGAGGCCATACGGACAGCCTACCAGCTGCCTCCACCTCCGGATGCTGGTGATTACTTTTATGAGTACGGCCGCTACCCAATGAACGACGGAAAATAGGCGCGATTTTTTGAGACAATTTGTGTGCCTGGGAAAGAAGTGGTCTGGATGGACTATGGGGAGAAATTCCACTCCTCAGTACTCACCTTTGAAGGGAAGTGCTGGTTGCACCTCATAAACAACAGCTTGATTCCGTCTCACAATACTACAGAAGTAAATGGGCCCCGAGCTGCCTTGATTTGGTGCTTTGTAAATGGGTACGACTTCGATGTGGCCAAAGTGATGCATAATGAGATATTCGTCCGAAGTCAAGTCAAAAGGTATGGATTCTTTTTCCCCTCTTTAGTGACTCAACTATGCAGGGATGCTCGGGTACCCGAAAATCTAGCTGTGGATGGGTTGGTCAAAAAGGAGGGCAAGTTCCGTGCTGATAAGGTGACCACGGGCAAGGAGCCGGAAGTAGTAGAGGCGGCGGAGAGTAGTAGCTCTGATGATTCTGATGATGAGGAGGATGCTGAGGAGAACGTGGAGACCGCACCACAGGCTCAGGAGCAAGGTGTAGCAGCTGCAGGACCATCTGGGTCTGCGCCATCTTCAGGAGCTGCCCGGGTGTCCCGTTTCACTGCTTTGGAGCAGGAGATGGCTGGTTTGCGAACATCTATGACTGATTTGGGCACCCGAGTAGACGCGGTAGCTGACCGACAAGTAAAGTCGGAAAAGAAATTCATGGGCTGGCTGCGAGCTCTGGGTCGTGCGTGCAACGTCAACCCAGACACTGTCTCCGACCAGGAGTGACACTTCAGGGAAGTTCCTTCACCTCACTGCTCTTTCAAATTTTAAGCCATGGGGACATGTCTTCATTTTAAGTGTGGGGTGGGGGTACTTCATTGTATGTGTGTAGTTGTATCATTTGAATGTTGTTTTTGTTTTGTTTTATTTGACCTTGATAGTTTTGGTGTTAAGTAGGAATCATTAGTTTAAAGTAGATAAGTGGTTCGTCCCGATGACGGATCTCTTTCGGCGGGGTTCTTGAGGGACTAAGTTGAAAAGAGAAAAAAAAAATTTTGGAAAAATGTAGACTCTTCCTGATGACAGATCTGTTAGACAATTTTCTTGATGGAAGTTAGTCTAGAGAAAACACCAAAAAAGATTTTTTATTTTTTTTTAGGTAGTGTAGCAGCTCCCCCTTGGTTTTTCTTTGGGCCACGGTTCTTTTCCAAGGGTTTTAACTTGAACCGGGTATAGGTAGTTCTTTTATTTTGTTTCCTTTTTGATTTGTAGAGTAGGTTAATGGGCTACGAGCTAGAAAATCAAGAGAGAACCCATAGCGTCGACACACCTGAACACAATAGACCCTAGAGTGTAACGCTTTCTTATTTGTTGAATCTCACTAAAGTGCCTTAATCTATATGTTTATTACTGAATTGAATGCTCGTAATGGAGCGTCTTGATGAGCTGATCAGGAATGAATCATATGCCATGTGTGGTGAGGTTTTTGTGTAGTCCATGCTTTGTACTTGTGTCTAGAACTTGCTCGGTATGTGAGTTGAAGCGAAATTTGAGGTGATGCTCGATGTGAAAAATAATTTTAGGCTTTCTTTGATCTTTTTGAGCTTAATTGCTTATCACAAATAAAATTTATCCTTAGTCAACCCTTTTGAGCATATAGACTTTTATTTGGTACCTACATTACAAGCCTGTACCCTTTTTGTTCTTAATTGACATTGTTTTGATCCTTTTACCTCTTAAAGCACTTTAATTGTGAGATGAGCGCTAAAAGAAGTAAGAAGGAACTAAGTGTGGGGTGGCTTTTGAGTGGAACCAATAAAAGGGATAAAGGTGCACTTGTTGTGTAGAATAATACACCACTAGCGGAAATTGAAAAAAAAAAAGAAGGAAAATATAGGTGAATAAATTGTTGGCTTGTTCTTGCTAGTGGGGTATAAATTAAAGTGGTGCTTAAAGAAAGAGGGAACATTGTTGAGAGTGATTTTAGTTGTGAAATTGAAATTGGAATTGAAGAATTTGCGCTCAAAGTGATTATGTGATGTGTTAAAGTGCTTAGGAGGGTGAACCACTATTCCTAAATATATCCGACCCGTCCCTTAGCTCACATTACAACCGTGAAAAAGTCCTAATTGATTTTAGATCGAGTGAGCCTACATTAGTAGAGATTTACATTAAGGGCAAGCTTATGGTACCAATTGCATGCATGTGACTTCTTTTGTGAGGGTGAGCGATTTTCTTTGATATATGTGAGCATGAGACTCAAATGTGTGGATTGATTTTATTCTCCTTACTGTGATTGTGAGGGCATGTGATTCGTGAAGGAAAGGCAAGTCTTGACTTCTGTGTAGAGTACTTTGAGGAAGTATGAATATTGCATGGCACTTGAGAGTAGACTTTTGAGGCTAGGATTGTTCACTGCTAGGCGTAATGTATGTAAATTATTCTGGGTGTAATGCGTTAGGGGATATGGTTGAGTGAAGGAACCTCTAGAAAGCATAGGGTGATTTCTCGAGGACTAGCAATGAATTAAGTGTGGGGTATTGATAAGAGGCTGAATTTAGGTAATTTAGCGATTATTTATGCTCCCGTTTGATTATGTTCCGATGTCATAATGTGGTTAATTGATTAAAAATGGGCTCTAATTGTGAATTGTATATATTGCAGGATGAGGAGCCTATGTGATGCCTTAAAGAGGTGATTGGAACTACTTTAGGACAAAAACGATCCCTCGGAGCTGAGTACGCACGAAGACGAGAAAAAAAATCAAGGAAGTAAGGACCTGGGCTAGCGCGCCCAGGTGCGCGCCCGCGCTAATTTTAGCGCGCCCTAAAACAGAACATCTGCCAACTAGCGCGGTCAGATGCGCGCCCAGGTGCGCAGCCACGCTAGTCCAAATTCCGGGAAGCCTTCGTTCAGGGGTATAATTGAAAATCTGGAGGAAACCCCACTTAACCTATATAAAGTCAAGCTCGCCCAAGGATTATTTATCAAGGTTTTCAGAGTCTAGTGGGAGAAATAGAGAGGCAAGAGGCAAGGAGGAGATTTAACCATCAAATTCTTCTTTTCTTCCCTTTGTTTTTGCTAATTGTGATGAGATTGAACCTTATTGGGATGAACATGAGTATGAGTGGCTAAACACCCATTGTTCTGGGGTTGTGATTTAGCCATGAATATTGTTATTTGATATTAGCTTGACCTTGATTATAATTCACCAATATATGGTTGTTTCTTCAATTCTGTGTTTAATTGCTTAATTGTCTGGCCAACAGTTAGGTTCTATTTACTATCTATGCTATGCTTGGAAAAACCATGTTTAGATTAGAGAAGAAGTGAAGAGAACATGATCTTAACCCTTAGGGGGAGCGGATTTGTGGTTAGGATAGGAATATACCTAGTCACCGTGCTTAATTAAATATCGTGATCTTAATGCGTTCTTAATAGATTAATTTCATAGGAATATAGGCGTTAATCTATTGAGAATAGGTGAGTAGTACTTCGGGAGAAGGCTATGAGAGCATCTATCGATTAATTAGCAACCATGAGTGAATTAT